GGTAGACTTATTGCTTAGCAAGGTCACTGAAAGTAGTTATTCAGTGAAGTTGCTGATTCCAACCAAAACCAAGGTTGGCTCTTGGTATGTTGGCCTCTCACCACTGGCCCCAGGAGAGTTCTAGTCTGCTTAGACCTCAGGGGAAAAGCAGGTCCTGTGCCTGAGAGCAGAGCTCAGAGAGTACAATCCAAAAAATTAAGTTAGGGGCAAGCAGAAGTAATGGAAGGAGAGAGGGGTCTTTTTGGCGCATCTGTAAATATGGCCTGTTGGTCTGATTTCTCAAGTGTTTGTATTGGATTTCCAAGTTTTCTCCATCACCCCTTTTGTTTCCTACTTTCTCCTTCATCATTAATGCAACTCATTGGAGCCCTACTCTATAACTGGGAAGAGTAAAATTAAATAAGACATAGCCAAGGCTTCAGGAACCTAAAAGCTAATCGAAGAAAGAAAATACGTATATAAATTGCTATTACTATTCTATTCTAGGAGAAAAAATAAAATGCTGTGAGAATTCAGGAACTTCAGATGAATTTTAGATGGTCAGGTCTGGCACAAGTGTCATAGAGCTTGTGACATTTTCTCAAATTATTGAAAGACAGAAATTTGATAGGCAAAAAAAAAGAAGTCTTCCAGGCTCAAGGACAGTATAAATAAAGACAGGCATAGAACTAAGAAAATTCAAAAAAATACTTTGTGACGTAGTTTTCCAGGAATATATAACACATCCAGGAAATCCTAGGATGATAAGGCCAGAAAGGAGACAGGTACTGGTGGGCATTAATAGCAAGGTGAACAAATTAGATCCAGAGGCATAGAAGCATGAAACAGACTGATGACTCTCAGAGGAAGATGGGGGTAGGGCAGCGGTTCTCAACCTGTAGGTCGCGACCCCTTTGGTGGTTGAACAACCCTTTCACAGGGGTCGCCTAAGACCATCCTGCATATCAGATATTTACATTACAATTCATAACAGTAGCAACATTACAGTTATGAAGTAGCAACAAAAATAATTTTATGGTTGGGTCACAACATGAGGAACTGTATTTAAAGGGCCAGAAGGTTGAGAACCACTGGGGTAGGGGGTGTGGAGGTGGGTGGGGAGAGATTAACCAAAGAATGTATATGCATATATGCATAATCCATGGATACAGACAATAGTGTGGGGAAGGAGGGGGGTGGGATGGAGGAGGTCAATGGGGAAAAGAAGGGAACATCTGTAATACTTTCAACAATAAAGATAAATTTTAAATAATAATAAAAAATAA